CAAACCACAACACACCCCACTGATCCATCCATCCCAACCCTAATAACGAAACCAGTAATATGGAAGAAAAGAAAAAAGAAAAGCGAAAAATCGAGAAAAGGAAATTTGTTGGGAGATAATATAAATTCCCTTTCCTTGGAAGAAATAAGAATCAAACTATAAAAATGAAAATATTTTAATGATAAAAACTGAATAACTCTCACCAAAAGCACACATTAAAGCCACAAACCCACCCCTTTCTTCCTTCCACCCTTTTTTTTCTCCCATCTCTTCATATATAATCCTCCGCCCCTTCACCCCTAACCTCCCTTCATTCTCCATTTTGATTTTCTTTTTTCTCTTCCCTCACCCAACCCTTCCCTGCTCTCCTTTCCCTTTCCTTCCACCACTCTCTCGTCTCCTTCTCTCTCCCCTGGACGGCGAGCTGTGTCAGCGGCGTGGAACACGATGCGGGCGGACGAGTGGGTGGCGGCGGCGATGACCGACGACACGGTGGTGGTCGAGCTGCTGGTGCGCCTGAAGCAGGCGCAGGCCGCGGTTCCAGCCAAACAGCAGCTGATGCAGACGTATTATTCGTCTTTCGGCGGTGGCGGTGCGGTGATTCCTGTCAGATGGGGTCTCCGCCTCCCGAGGTCCAAGTCTGCGGCCGCCACGTCAGCTGGCTCCATGAGATGCGGCGGCGTCGTTTCTAGAAGGAAGGAAGGCGATTCTTCCACCAGATGCAGCCCGACGACTCCGCTTTCCTGGAGCGGCGGCGGCGGCGCCGCGTCTCCCTCCGCCGCCGGCGACGGCTACAAAGAGACCAGCAGCCACCGCTCCCCCTCCGGTTCCAGATCCAAGGTTTGTACATCCTCCTCCTTGCCTCTCCCTACTCCTCCTCCCTTCTCGTTCTGGATTCCGGTGGTTGTTGCGTCATTAGATTCGCCTTCAGCTGATCTGTTTAGGTGAGGAGGGTGTGGGTATTTGGTGTTGTTTGACTGGATTTTCCCTCGAGGTAGACTGCAATTACAGCTGGCGAGCCCCGTCTTTCTTTTTACCGGTGGCGTTGAGTCGAGCCGACGAGACATTCTTGTCTCCAGAGCTGCGGAAGGAGTCCAACAATGGACCAACCGCTTTTTTCTTTTACTTTCCTTTTTGTTTTCTTCTCTCTCTCTCTCTCTCTTTCTCACCCTTTGCACTTGACCTGCCTAATTTGTCTTTCCTCTCCCCTCGCCTTAATTATTGTTCTCCCTGTCCTCCGATTTTCCTTCCTTCCCGGCGAAGCCGCCGGGAGTGTGCGGAGTTGATTGATCCGCGGCGGGCCGCCGTCTCTGTCAGCAGCTGACAGTGATGGCAAAAATCCCCGAATCCTGATCTGTTTCTGATCGACGGTGGGAATAGCATAACCGTCGATGAGTAGCTTGCCATCCACTCTTTTTCCCCCTTCTGTTAATTTTTGCGTGGGTGTGAGTCAAAGACCAAACTGCCCCTGGGCCCCTTTTCTCAAGAGGTCACATGAGGTCAGAGCTTTGAGCAGGCTTTGCTCAAAGAAGGGGGAATCGGGGAATTTGGAGGGGTAAAAGTGGGTCAGCAAAAATAACTTGAAAGTGGCTCACGTTTTCCTCTCTCGCCTCTTTTTGGGTCACCTGTCATTCTTGGGTTTTTGTTCCCCTTCCCTTCCATACGAGAGTTTGTTTGGAAGTTGGAATAGACGGAATCGCCCTCCCTTCATTTCTGAGCTTGTAATTTATCATTGTTAGATTCGGAGTGGTCTGTACGCTTTCCCAGTAACGGGACGGTTTTGTCAGATGGTCGACGTCGATTGGACTTTTCTTTTATCATTTTTTTCCACTCCCTTAATAATTATACCATAAAATAAAATCCTAATTCCTTCACCCGTCGTAGTAATAAACCACGAAGCTTCCCGCACCGGATCTTTTTTCCCCTCTCCTTTCTTCCCTCATTTTGTAGTTTGGACGGCTTTGTTTTCATCACTTCCTTACCCTTTTCGGGTATTTTAGATTTTGATTTTTCTTGTGTGGGTGTGGAGCCCAGGGAGACGGTGGCGGAAAGGTAGACCCGAGCCCAGCCGAATTTGGGCTCGGGAGGTCCAGTTGTGATTGGCGAACCCGAAATTATTGTTTTTTATTATATAATAAATTTGTGTTATGGTGTTATATCTTTTTTGGTATTCGAGGGGAGGTCGGCGCGTGTTCATTGCTTTGCATTGTGGTTGTCATCATTGGTGTGATTGAATTGAATGTGGCGTTGGCAGCCGGGTCGGGTACGGATACGGGCCAGGCGGGTTTAATTAGGGAGAATGGGGCGATGATGGGTGGCGCGTCGCGGCCCAATACACGCTGTCGGGGGCGCGGGGGCTGTCACGTGCATGCTTCACGTGACTATTTAAAGATAGAGAGAGGGGTTGGGGATTTTAAGCTTTGGCTCTGTAAATGTGTCAACACGCTTCCTTCTGCCGACGTGGCTTCCTTCTACTGGTTGGGGTCTGTCTGTCGTCGTGAATTCCTCGGGGAGCCACTTCTTCTCCTTGGATCTTCGATGGTTCACCATATCTGGATCGGATTGATTCCTGAAGGCTGAAGGTGAAATGTGTAGAGCCTACTTTCCTCTCCTGGGTAAAATTCCAGCTGTCGCCATTGACGAGGAGGGGTCTTTACTTTTAAATTAATCCCTTGACGATCTCTCTCCACTATAACTAGGGTTTTCATATTTGAATAAGATATATACAGTATCTCGTTCATCCTAATCCCATTTATTATATTGATGATGGGAAGTAATTGGTGGATCTTTAATAACTACGGTAATGGGAGTTACTACAATTTTTTGTCGTTAGATCAGCCGAACTGAGAGGAGCTGGCTGTCTGTTTCAATTCGTATTTTCCGTTTCTGTCTCCAAAGTTAGAATATTTGTCTGCGCTGGAGTGGTGGGTTGGTTTGTATTTGTGTGGAAGTTTGGCCTCTCGTTTCTTTGTCATTTGTGTTGGATTAGGGTTGGGACTTGGGACATTTATCTGCTTAATAGTTTTGTATTATCTACATCTACATATATTATTTATTCTGGATTGAGGAGTAGTAGGGGGTTGTTGGTATTTTGCAATGGGACCCAAATCCCCAATCCCGGGATCAGGCTGCCGCACTTTGGAACGCGTGCACGTGGGGGGGTTCTTCCCGCTGTTTAACATGCCATTTAGTCTCCTCTCCTCTTCTTTGCCTCCTCTTTGGGCTCTCTGGCCTAAAGATTTCAGTTTCATTGCTTTGTAATTGGTAATTGTCAACTTGTCGAGAGCCAAATTTATGGTTCCTAACGTTCTGTTTCACTGGGATCGTGCTGATCCATCTTCTCTTGTTATCCGCAAATGCAGGGTAGTGTTGCTACTGCTGCGGAGATCACTAGCACTGGAACCACCACCGCGAAGAGAACCAGAAGAAAGAAGGTACTGAAAAAGTTCCCATCTTTTCGTTTCCCTTCATTTTCCATCTAGCCTTTGCTCTGCTTCACTGGGTGCCCTTTGATTTTGGTTGCTAATCATTTTGGCCCTTCTCCTTTGGCGTTTCTCTGCAGACACTAGCTGAACTTAGAGAAGAGGAATACTTTCTCTGGAAGCAAAGGACACACCTAAAAAAGGTATCAAATTCTTGCTTCTCTTTTTTTCCACCCAGATCATCCCCCCCTAATCTGGTTTAAGGTTCATACCTAAATCTCCCTCTTCTCATATTTGGCGTCTCTCGCAGGAAATAGAATCTCTACACGCTACATTTAAGGACGAGAGAACTATAAACGAAAAGCTGAAGCGAATCAAGGTACTTACTTCTCTCAGTTCCCCTACTTTCGCCATCCATTCGTTCGTTTTAAGTGATCTACAACCTTTCTTAATACTCTCGGTGTGTTGAACAGATCGACTTGGATTCGAATTATTCCGTCCCCTCCAACGATATTGCTTCTTTTGAAGAAGGGGAAAAAATAACAGAGGAACAGCCTACTACTCAACCTTCCTCAAACAAAGTTCTGCTTCATCAATCAGAGTCTTGTAGCAGGACGGATGAAACAAGTTGCAGTGGGGATGCTTCTTTCTTGCTCCCTGACCTGAACATGATGCCCTCCGAAGAAGATCCTCCATCAGCTCATTAGCCGGGTGGTTGGCACCTGCGTCCCATTAGGATAGTTAACCACATAGTACACTTTGCTCTGCTTCGTCAGTTCGTTCGTTGGTTCAGTTCTTTCGTTGGTTCGACTCCCTGCCCTCCCAAATAAGGTTATGCTGGAGAAGATCGAACTCAGCCCTTCAATCATAAGATGATGATGGCAAAAGAGGTGGGTGGGTGGTGTTGTAGCATTGTGAAATAACCTTGTTGCAGCTAGCTAGTTGAAAGGTGAAAGGAAGAGTCCCCTACTTTTTTTTACTGAAGGTGGGGGCCTCTCACTGCTTTCTGACCACTTCTCTTGGTGGTGTCGTCTCTCCTCCAGAATGAAGGCCAGCTGCTGATGCATGTATAAGGAAGTTTCTCTCTTCACTTCTCTTCTCCATTAGCTGTTGAAGAAAATGCCAATGAAGGCCTTACTGCTGTAGAGTAGTGACAAATAGGCAATAGCCCCCACTATTAGAATGTGCAGAGATAAATATAAAAATAGCAGATATATATATATATTTGTTCTGTAGCAAGTTTAGCTTTTTCTCATTTCGTTCATCCCAACAAAAAACTGTGGGGTAAACTCTCATTACTTCTGTTTGTTTCTTCTTCTAATCACTGTTACCTCTTGGAGATTTTTTGTAGCGCAGTTGCTGTATCTGTTTGGATTAAGGGAAGCTAATTTTTTGTTAACTATTTTGCTTTGTATTATTCGCGTGATAAATGATTGATGATGGATGATTCTTTCTAGTGAATGTATTCCCGCCGTGTTCAAATTTCCATGATTGATGAGAAATGCCTTGTAAAAGTTCAGGTTAAACGTATACATATCCAAATGTTAAATGATCGATGATGAATGCTCCGTCGATGTTCAGGTGAATTCATACTGTATTGATATGTGAATCAAAACATACAATCTGGACTTGTTGGCGGTGACCGTCATAAGTGCAAAATCTTGGCAACACATATCTCTTCGCAGTAAAGATTACATTGTCTAGCTAACTTGATGATTGAAGTGCTAGCAAATAAACAAAGTCTAACACTATTCTCAACAGCCTAAGGTGAATCCGGGTTTGCTGATAAATTCTGTTCAACAAGCTCAATACAGTGGTACAGGACTAACTCAATTGGATTAAGCATGCCAGCAACTTCATCTGGATCGTTCTCTGGGTCTGCCATCGTGCTGCTCACAATAGTCCGAAGAGGAACGAGCCATTCGTTGCACGCCCTCAGCAGATTCTTCCTGAACAATACACCCGTCTTGTTCGTTTTACCTGTATCCAATTTTTAACAAAAACATGCAGGTGCCTTAAGTAGAAGCAAATTAACATCTCAGATTATGACGAAATTAATTTTCGGTCTTATTCTTGAGGACGGTTAGCAGTAACTTTACCTGCTAATTCTTTCATTAGCACAAATCTATATAGGTTGAGAGCAGCTAGAACCTGTCGAGCATAAAATAAAAGAAAATTGCAGCATTAATGGTATGACAGGATTGAGGATACTGTCAAAAAGAAATGGTATGACGGGAGAAAATAAAATTTACATGACTTTTATAGCAAGGCGATTGAAGATAAATGTGCACAGAGACCAGGTAATTACCGCTTCGCCATGTTCTGGAAAGGATGGTTGTCCACCATGCGGCGGCCTTAGAACTAGCTCCACCAATTCCAGGATTCTCTCTGTCCAAGCTGATTCTGTCGGACTTCCATGATTACCAGCTTCATCTACTCCTTCGTTTGTTGATTTTTTTGGGAGAGTTTCCTTGCGCAATTCACCTCTAACGAGATCTAAAAGGATTGCAGTCTGTATGGAATAGCAGCGTGCGCTCAGAGAATGAAACATTATTGCCCACATCTTGAATATATGTCAAGGCATGAAAATTCCACACACAAGCTTGCAAGGGAGTTTTACCATGGAGATGGAGGACGAATCTGAATTTGTTATCAGCGCTTGTAGGATATCAATCCTTTCAGGGATGGGAGTATCTGCAAGTACCTGATTTCATTTGGCAAATCCCATCCACGGTCATTCTCTAGCTAACTGACATGTGTACTCTTACTATGCAAGAGTTCAAAGATGAAAAAACTTGCCCTTTTCAGAGCTTCAAAAGAATTTTTCCTTAGTGTGGAATCAGGCGAATGCATGATGACCTTGGTAATTGCCTAAAATTGTTGGTTCCAGTGGTCAAGGGAAGAATATACATATAAGAGGTATACTAATATTACCAACTTGGATTTGTGAGAATGTACCTGTGCTGTAGCAAACAACGAAGGCATATAGATCGAACAGTCTGTTATTGGTTCATCATTATGGCAATTCGGTGTGAAACTTCCATTAGTAATACCAAGCAAGAATTCCACGGTATGCCTTTTAATATCCCAGGGAAGAATCACTGAAGAAAATATGTGTTTTAACATGCCTATTGCTTCCCACCTCTGAACTTGGTTATGTTGAAGCTTATCCTTCAAAGCAGACATATTCTCTCCAGCTTGCTCAGCTATCTCGTTGGAGATATGCCCCCAAATGACTGCAGGTACAACCCAAAGAAGCTAAAGACATGGAAGCAAAATAAACAACTTAACCAATCAACTTAGCTCCAGAACACAGACCAACCTGATAGAGACGCACCCAGCTTCATGTCAGGAAAGGAGGTCATTATGTCATCTTCTTTATCTGTCCAGTTGAGTAATGAATATTTTCAGTAAACAAACTAGACAACTTTGGCTTGCTCATACCAGTAAAATCCTAGGGCCTAAACATGGTATCACCTTTTTACCTTTGGTGACAATAGAGATCTTGGCATCAACATCGGATTCAGTTATTAAACCAAGATATGTCAAGCCACACCGTGGAAGAAGTTTACAAATCTCTGACACCAGAGGAGTGCAGCCTGATTGTTCAGATGGTATACTGGCTGACACAAGAGCCTGCAAGTCAAATCCAGATCCACTGTTGTTGAAATCTAAGGTGGAGATTAGATAACGCCACAAAAGAAATAACAAGTATTTAGCTCAATGGACGAGACCTACCATAATTTGCAATATGAACAAACCCATCAGAGACTGAAGTTCTTCAGATTCTCCACGATCCTATTTAAATCCACAAACAGATGTATCAACAGTGCAATATCAGGAAAATAGGTATGAAAAAAAAAGTGAGTTCAACTAGCTTACCAGTTTCGTACTAACTACGCATATAGAATCTGCCATTGCCAAAGCTATGTTGAATAGTAGTACACGCTCTGCATCTCTATCAGCTAACTCAACAGATACCACTTTCAGGACATTCAATACAACAGGAACTGCCAACTTTGCCTGCTTAAAATGATGCCGCTTAATGGAAACAAATACTGCAAAGCAGTATAGGAAAAACGATAAGCGATCGAATCAGTTAATGCATCTGGAAACACAGAACATTGATCACATGGCTACCAACCTTTCGAGAGCCCAGTCAGGAGAGGAGCAGCATAACCAGGGTCACTGCTAGTACTCAAGGAATCCAATGCCTGTTGCCGGCAAATAAAAAAAAAACGAATCATTAGAACAAAACAAATGGAAAACCCTAGAAACTCACGGAAATCTCATCGGCAATTAACCAAATAGAAGTTCAAAAACACCCCCAAATATACCTCAGATAGAATGGAGATCATGTCCCGTGGATTACATCTACCAACAAACCAATCGATAATGGAATCAGCAATCTCCAAACACCTATCTGAAACCCCTGCGAACTTTGAAACTGCTTTTGGCAATTCAAACGAGAGTGCGTCGACCACCGCCTGCAGAGTTGAATTGCACAACCGTTTGAAAACCCAACAAGCGGCAGCCATAGTAGCTCGACGAAATTGCAGGAATAGAAGCATGGAAAAATCTGGAACAAATTGGAGAAAGAAGACTGAACCTGGTTTGGCGTGGAAGAAGAGACGAGAAAACTCTGAATCTCAAGGAGTAGTTCAACCGCATTCTTCCTCGCTTCTTCGTTTTCAGGTTCTGAGGTTGCAGCCTCGGAAATGGAATCCAGAAAGCTCGCAAGCTCCTCAAGAAGGCCTGAGGTTTCCTCTTCTCCTCCTTCGATTGACTGGCGAAGCAAGAAAAGTCAAGCATCATTTTCACCCAACGCGAGGGAAGTAGAAGCTTAGCTTGTAAAGGAAGCTTACTTTGCAGCAAGAAGAGAGGCTATGGCGAAGCCGGAGCACCACCGCTCTTAGTTCCTTCTCTGCCATGGCGTAGCTCAGTCGGTCTCTAGTGGCCTGCTTCTCGATTCAATTTGAACAAAAGACTCATTATATACGAAGTACGAACGAGAAGAAGCGCACAGTACGAAATGTTGTTCGGGTCGGGTTATTAACCTAACCCAACTCATGGTCTGGATAAAACAGGCCCGTTTTCGAAACGAAAGAAGAAGAAGTTCGCCACTCTGATCGATCGATTTTCTAGCTTTCGCTCGAAATCTGAATCTTGGCGCTCTCTCTGAATTCTGCATTTGCTGTTGCTCTGTGAATGTTGGTAATCTGAAATTCAGTTTGTTCTTCTACATTTCCCGGCGGCCTCCGTCGTAAGATCGGGAAGAAAATGGAGCCGGACGTGAGCATCGAAACCTCGTGCATGATCCGGATCGCGGTGCTTCCAGTCGGTACAGTTCCGGCGAGCGTCCTCCGAGATTACTTCTCCATGTTTCTGCGGCACCACACCATTCCTCTCGCCGCGATAAGTTCCTTCTACACGGAGCACCAGAAATCCCCCTTTGCACAGCAGCCGTGGGATGCCGGATCGATTCGGTTCAAGTTCTTGCTCGGCGGAGCTCCACCGAGTCCCTGGGAGGATTTCCAGTCCAACAGAAAGATTCTCGCGGTAATTGGAATCTGCCACTGCCCTTCAACACCCGATCTCGATTCCGCGGTGGAGCAGTTCGCCGCGGCGTGTAAGAGTTACTCGTCGGCGTTGGTCCAACGGTGCTTTGCATTCTGCCCTTGCGATTCTCAGCTCGAGGACGGCGGGAAGAAAGAGGATGTCCTGAGGCTGTTCCCTCCTGCTGACCACCAGACGCTGGATATCCATTTGCAGACAATGATGCAGGAAATCGCCGCTTCGTTGCTGATGGATTTTGAGAAGTGGGTGCTCAAGGCGGAATCGGCAGGAACTATACTCAAGACGCCTTTGGATTCTCAAGCCAGTCTCAGTTCAGAGGAGGTTTATGTTTAGGTGTCCTAAGTATTTTGAAATTCTGCTGTTTTCTCAAGTGAAGCTTTTCCATATCCTGCGCTGCCATTGCAACTACCCCTTTGTGGTTTTGATCTTACTTTTTTCTTGTTCAATTGCAGGTTCTCAAGGCGAAAAAGAGAAGACTTGGCCGTGCACAGAAGACCATAGGGGATTATTGTTTGTTGGCTGGATCACCAGTTGATGCTAGTGCCCATTATACTACTGCATTAGAACTTGCCAGATTGACTGGGGATTTCTTCTGGTTTGCTGGCGCCTTGGAGGGTAGCGTTTGTGCTTTACTGGTACTCACCTCTCTCCATTAGTGGTGGATCGTGATTCTCAGCAATGTGTGGAATATTTTTGGGCGTAGAAACATCCATAGGTATTTTTATTTATATAGATTGTAGGTAATCCAATTTTCTTTAAGCTGCCTCCTTCAACTGAACCTGATTTCTGTGTCCTGTGTGTTTGATAACCTCAACTTAGTTGGTTGCTTCAAAGCATTTGAAGAATGATGAAGTACCAAAAACAATGTTTGCGGTTCATCCATGTATAAACTCTTTGGTCCTGACCTCCTGTGATTGGAAATCAGTAGACAAGAGCCATTTTGTTATATTTGGGGAACCACTTTTGACAGAATTCACATCCACAAACGTCTTAATGTAAAATCAATTGCCCTGCCATAGAATGGCTAGGCTTAATATCTGTGCCTCTTGATCATTGATTTGCTTCTGATCTTCAGTAATGTCTTTCCTCCTTTTCTCTGCTATTTAGATGGATCGAGTGAGCCACATTGATGCAGTTTTAGAAGATGAAGTTAAGTATCAATACAATAATGTGATATTACATTATAGGAAGTCATTTATCCAAGACAATGCTCAGAGGTAATCTCTATTCTTTCGTAACAGCTCGTAGATATTCCTTTGTTCTTGCTGTTTCTCCTTACTTTTGATTCAGTAGGCGTCTGTAGGTTAGTAAAACATGTGCTCTATTCCTCTTCTTCACTTTTCATTTTGTGGCTGTTGTGATCCTCTTTGGTTAACTTGGTGCTATCTTCTTGTCTCCTTCTGACGATTCTTGTTGTATGTATGTTTTCTGTTAGAAATTCCTCTCAAGGAAACTCCTAAGATTTCTAATAAAATTTGTTCATTCATAAAAAACAATGATCAATTTTTTTCTGGAATTTCTTTTAATAGGTTCTGACTTCTGAGGCTCTAGTGCATTAGGATAGTGAAAATTGGGTAGTGTTTTTTTTTTTTTTTTGCACTATGTGGCCCAGAGCCTGCAAAGACAGAGATATATGATTTCTCAGCAGTCCTTCTGGAATAGGCGTAACAAGCATAGTTGATTAACAATATGAGTTAAATGAAATAAACTTTATTATAATATGTTTTATCTTTCCTGGTGAATATAAACGACTGTTGCTAATAAAAATAACACTAAAGTTGCTTGTCTAATTGGTAATGGAATGCATATATACTTTGGGCATATTACTTACTAATTAGCCTACTCCCCGTAATTTCTTGTGGAGAAAATATATAGATGGTGCAGCATTGGCAACTTGTGCTTGCATTACTTCTCCTTTGGTAGTAAAGATAGAGTGCTTTGATGTAGCTTCATTTTTGTAATGGAAGCACAAAGCAACACGAGAAGTTGCCAGGATATAGCTATTTAACTCGAGTTTCAGCCAAATTCTTCTCTCTGACTTAATTTTCTCTTATGTTTTCTGAGGTCACCTTTTGCTTGTGTATAATATTGACCAAAATATTTCCAATATATCTTACATGCAGAGTTTCTCCCTTAAGCTTTGAACTTGAAGCTACTTTGAAGTTAGCAAGATTTCTCTGCAGGTAGGCATTTCATTCTCCCTTCTTTTGTGAATGTTTTATGCTTGTGTTAAATAGCTTCCTCTCCACATCGCTGTGACTGCATGCAGTATCATACTAGATTTACATTGTTTTCTGCATTTGTAGCAGATGGTGGAAAGTCATTGATTGATGTTAATGATAAAACAGCATTTAAAAGTTCTTATCTTTGCAGGCGCAATCTGTCTAAGGAAGTTGTGGAGTTGCTGACCAGTGCAGCAGATGGCGGAAAGTCATTGATTGATGTTAATGATAGACTTGTTTTGTTTGTTGAAATAGCACGGTTATTTGGGACAATTGGTTACCAGAGGAAGGCTGCCTTTTTCTCAAGGCAGGTTGCACAATTATACCTCCAACAGGACAATAAGTTTGCCGCTACAAGTGCCATGCAAGTGTTGGCAATGACTACAAAAGCATATCGTGTTCAGAGCAAAGCATCTATGCCCGATCCTCCTCATACGAAAGTGAGCCAGTAGAGAAAATAAACAACTGTTAGGCATTTTGTGTTACTTGGATGGACGACGGAGATTCTTTTACCCGAGTCTTTTGCTTTCAAAATCCTTATTAAAGGTTTCAAGTTGTGTTACTTTGAATTCTCACAGTCAATTGTTATTAATATTGCAGAAGCAGACTGGGCCAAGTCATACTGATAGTGGGAAAATGCATCATCATTTGGTTGTATCTTTATTTGAATCGCAATGGAGCACGCTGCAGATGGTTGTGCTTAGAGAGATACTGTTATCTGCTGTTCGAGCAGGTGATCCACTGGCTGCATGGAGTGCGGCTGCTAGGCTGCTGAGACAATACTATCCTCTGATTACCCCTCCAGGGCAGAATGGGCTTGCTAGTGCACTCAATAACTCTGCTGAAAGGCTGCCTTCTGGAACTCGCTCTGCTGATCCTGCTTTGCCTTTCGTGAGGTGTTGTTCCTGTGCACATGCTATCCCAAAACTGTTTTAACTTCATCCACGGTCGGAGGATGTATCTCAGTACTGCCACTATTATTTTTCATAAGTTAGTAATTTTTTAAATTCATTGTTTTTGTTCAGGTTGCATTCTTTTCCTCTTCATCCATCACAAATGGATATTATCAAGCGAAGCCCCACTAAGGAAGATTGGTGGGCTGGATCTGCTCCTTCAGGACCTTTTATCTATACCCCATTCAGCAAAGGGGAACCAAATGATACTAGCAAGCAGGAACTGGTTTGGATTGTTGGAGAACCAGTCCAGGTTTTAGTTGAGCTTGCAAACCCATGCGGCTTTGATCTAAGGGTTGATAGTATATATCTCACGGTGCATTCCGGTTCTTTTGATGCTTTTCCAATAAGTGTGGACCTTCCTCCTAACTCATCAAAGGTGATCACATTATCTGGAATCCCGACTTCTGTGGGGCCCATAACGATTCCCGGGTGCACTGTTCACTGCTTTGGAGTTATCACAGAACACCATTTCAAGGATGTTGATAACTTGCTCCTTGGGGCAGCACAGGGGCTTGTGCTCTCTGATCCATTCAGGTGTTGCGGATCTGCAAAGTTGAGAAATATATCTGTGCCCAGTATCTCTGTTGTGCCACCACTGCCATTGCTAGTCTCACACGTGCTGGGTGGTGATGGAGCAATAATGTTGTATGAAGGTGAGATACGTGATATCTGGGTTAGCCTGTCGAATGCAGGAACTGCTCCAGTTGAGCAAGCACATATTTCTCTCTCCGGTAAGAACCAAGATTCGATCATCTCGATACCTTACGAGACCTTGAAATCTGTTCTTCCGTTGAAGCCTGGAGCAGAGGTGATTCTACCTCTAACTTTAAAAGCCTGGCAGCTCGGACCTATGGATTTTGAGATTGGTGGTGGAAGGGCTGCAGCCTCTGGAAGCACAGGAAGGCAGTTTAAGGATGCTAGTGTACCTACTCTATTGATCCATTATGCAGGTATTACCTTTATGTTTATGCATGCTAGTCCCTGTCTAGCTGAATCTACATGTTTGACATATTTCCTGACGTTACAACACAGTATTTGTTGAGGTATCATTTTGATATCTTAGATTGCAACCTCCCCATTGACTACATACTTTGCATATTCAAAATTGAACGGTTATTTTTGGGCAAGGATCCAAGTTTGGTTACCAAGAGTGGCCACTACATGAGTTGTCTCTTCCTTATGCTTCATCATTGTGCTTACTCTT